ATAGTGGCATGGTGCCCCATTATTTTTCATATAGATGAATTGATTCTTCAGCTGGCTTGGAAATTTCTTACTGGCAGGCATTCTCATGTTCTATAATCTCACCAATGCCCATCAGAGTGGGGCAGAGAGAGGAAGTCATTGCCTGGACCAGACATCCTCAAGGTCTACTCTGTACATAGGAGGTCAAATCACTGCATTTGGATTTTCTGTAGGAATTTTATTATGCAAAACTGCCTCTGTGAGACTAAAGAGCCCAATGCTTAACTCAAAAGAATTCATATGTAAATTCTCTCTTTTGTGGGCTGGGCCTTGTGAAAATAAAAACAATATATATTTTTAAAGAAAGGCTTGTCTTGGTGATTTTTCAGATACATTTTTGGTAAAAAACCTAGTAATTCTACATTCCTTACAGTAGTGACTGCCTCAGGCATTGGAGATCTAATACAAAAGGCCTCAATTCTTTATGAAAACAGCCAGAACAATGGAGAAAAATTATCTCTGTAGTTTCTATAAGAATTGTGATTTCTTAAAGATTATTGTAACAGTAGAAAAATAAATAACGAACAGAAACTTTCTCCTTACATAATGAAGTTTTAGTGATTAAATAATTAGGAAAAGATGAACATTGACTGCAAACACTGCCTCAAAGGGGAATCAGAATTATATAGTTGTTTCTGGGTTGGGAAAATTATGAACCAGATTTTACTGAAGTAATGGACACATTTCTTTGCCAAAATTCAAAATAAAAAGCAGCAATATTGCATAAAATTTGCCGAATTTGCCAAATTTGCAATTTCACCATCAACTGATACTTTTCCCATCCGCAGCAGTTTTAAATCTGCAGCCCCGTAAATCCCTAGAAAGGCCTGCCTACAGGGCCATTCCAGATTCCTGTGTTGTGATTTCAAACTGATGGTTCCCATGAGGTTCCACTTTGAAGAGAGCCATCTAGAGACTCTCAATCTGGGAGTCATTTTCTCTAATGAATACCTCTTTTGCCAAAGCCAAAGTTCTTAACCTGGAACCAATGGATCCCCCAAGGGGACCAGGAATAAAATTCAGAGGTTCCATGAATTTTGATGAAGAAAAAAAATATGTATTTTCACTAAGCTCTAATTGAAATGTAGGTAAAAATTTAGAGTAGTTAATAGCAGTCCCTGGGACTCTTTCTACCATATAAATCACAAATGTTTTCTTATCACAAATATTTTCTTATACTTATTACAAATATTTCAAAACATCATTGGCAGTCATCACTACTTCCAAAGTCATGGTAATTGTTAGACATCTACTAGACTATATATTACTTCATTCGTTTGGTTTTAAAAATATTTTGATAATGACTTTCAATATGATTGGCTGCATTAGTGATCATCAGCATTTTATTCTATGCATTAGTAACAGTATGCTGACAAATGGTCCATAGATCCATAAGGTATCTGACACACGAAAAGTTAAGAACTCCTAGCTCAATTCCCATTTTTGGTATCTGATAACTGATCATATGGACTTTAAGAAGTTGAAGAATAGGCCTGGAACAGATTTCAATAGATTTGAATATGCATGATCTTATAATAAACAATTTCATCACTATAGTTAAAGAAAGGCTAATTGATTACAAGCTGAAAAATGGGATGAGAACAGTCTGCAAATGAGTGGGCAACACATGAAAGGAGTAAAAACTACATCAGAAACTGTCAGTCTCATTGGAGTTAAAACAAATTAAACATGGCATTACCACCCTGACCAAAAAGAGGGTGTAGATGCAATGTGAGGTTCCTCGAACTCCTGGAGTCAGTTTTAAGCAGCACACTTATCAGATGAGTATCTATTCCATTAAGTGGAAGAAGATAGTACAAGCTTCATGAGAACAATTAATATGTTACATGAGGTAGTAGCGATAAAAACAATATATATTTTTATTTTATTTTATTTTTAAAATTAATTAATTTATTTTTTCAAATACATTTGTCTCTGCCTTCCCCCCACCCTTTCCCCCTGCCCCTCCCCCCTCTCCCTCCCTCAATCTTTCCCCACTTTGGCTTTGTACATGAGTCCTTGCTATATGTTCCTTGACTTGCCCCTTCCCTTCCCCCCTCCCCAACCCCTCTCTCCTTCTCTCTTGTCTCTGTTGGTTTCTTTTTTTTTTTTTTTTCAGTGTTGCTGGTCTTATTTTCCTTGCATCTTTGTTTTGTCAGTTAAGTTCTGCTTATAGGTGAGATCATATGGTATTTGTCTTTCGCCCCCTGGCTTATTTCGCTTAGCATAATGCTCTCCAGTTCCATCCATGCTGTTGCGAAGGGTAGTAGTTCTTTCTTTCTTTCTGCTGTGTAGTATTCCATTGTGTAAATGTACCATAGTTCTTTGATCCAATCATCTACTGATGGGCATTTAGGCTGCTTCCAACACTAGGCTATTGTAAATTGTGCTGCTATGAACATTGGGGTGCATAGGTTCTTTTGAATTGGTGTTTTGGGATTCTTAGGGTATAGTCCCAGCAGGGGAATCACTGGATCAAAAGGTAGTTCCATTTTTAGCTTTTTGAGGAAATTCCGCACTACTTTCCACAAACAATATATATTTTTAAAGCCTCCACTATATCCCTGTTGTTTTTAATCATTGAAAATCAGTCTCAGTATAATACTATTACATCTATGTTCTCATGTAGTTGTCACACATCTAAAAGGAAATAGCAGACAGGATTATACCCATGCTAAAGGTGAGAAAAACTGAGCTTCAGTAAAACTGGAGGCCCACAGTTGGTCATGGTTTAAAAAGAAAAGAACAAAGACGATAGTATAGTCTCTACTTAACAAATGCAGAAACAATCTCTTAGAGGTTAGGGAAATTGCAGTAAGCGTCAGGGCTGGGATTTGAATTCAATTTGGTCTGATTCCAAAACCCTGTGTATTTTCCATTGTGTCCAGCTGCCTGCCTCACTACTCCTTTCTCCGAATTAGAGAGCTAAAGGTTGTTTGAAATGACATCCATTACCCCCACCCCCAGCCCCAGAAAACTACTTTACTCAGCTGAATCACAAGGGTATACTCCAGGGATAGGAAAATAAAGCATTTCCAAACTTTGGTATAGTTCTTAGTTAACTAAAGGGATCTGGGAGAGGTGGGACTTGTCTTTGGGATGTTAGTGCTGCTTTTTCCCTCCCATGCCTGCCCACCCAGCCCCTGGGGAATCCAAAAGGCGTCCCTTTCTGAGCTGCTGAATCTCACAGGCACAGCAATTACCAGACAGCATCTGTGTTCTGAACTAAATGACTCTTCATGGACTGTGAGAGGGAAACTCAAGAGCTGGAAAATTTTTATTTTTAAATACAGTTAATAGGTTTGGTAGTTAATGCATGTAAAAAGCTATTGTTCAGGAACAGGGATGTATAACAGAACTCACCAGGACTCTAGAAGACCACAGGCAATTTGACCTTTGTGCCCCAGGACTGCAAGCCATCAAGATGGTATCTGAGCCTTTTGTGCTCCAGGCAGAGATACAGCCTTACTTGGGCTACAACTTTTATCTGATTAATCTTTTCCCTGAATTCCAAACCCCTAACCTACCTTTTTTCCTGAATTCCAAATCCCTTACCTACACTTTTCTTCCTATTAAAAAAAAAAAAGTGTAAGATGGTCTTTTAGGGGACATAACCTGCTGTCTTCTCAGATCGCCAGCCATCTGAATAAAACGCCCCTGAAGAGTCAATCCTTTTCTCTACTTAATGTTCTGGTGGTGACAGGCAGCACGAACCCTGACTTTCCCGGTTTCAGTTGTATCGTGTACATGTGCTTTTCAAATTTTCGGAATAAATCTGATTAATGGTCAATGCTTGTATATCTTATTTCCCATTTATGTGAAGGTAAACATTATTAGTCATTTGTGGGCTTTTGCTGGACAGAGAGGCATCTCCTTTTACTTTTGTTCTTTTTGCTTTCTCATTTGATGTTAAACTGTTGCAGATCACAAACCAAGAGCATGCTGTTAATTTCATTACAAGAGCAGGCAGTAGTGGGAGTTCTTGTACTTTTAAAAAATGCCCTGCTTAAGAGAGTTTGGAAAATTGTCCACAGAGAGTCCTCAAACTGTGAGCCCTTTCATAGTAGTAGAGGCTTATTCTAATTACTTTTCTTTTTTCTGGAAGGTCTCATTTTGGTTGTGGTGGTAATGTCATATTCAATCAGTTTCAACTCCAGTGAGATGGATAAGTTTCTGGTGTAGTTTTTATCCCTCTCCTGTGTTTCCCACTCATTTGCAAACTGTTCTTAACCCAAATCATTTTTTTTATTGTTGACCCTATTACCGATGTTCCCCATTTCTCCCCTTCCGCCCCTTCCACTCAGCCCCCACTTTACCACATTGTTGTCTGTGTCCATGGGCTATGCATGTATGTTCTTCTTAACCCATTTTTAAGCTCTATCAGTTAGTCATCTTTAACTGTAGTTATGAAACTGTTACCAAATCATCCATATTCACATCTATCTTTTCAAACTATTTGCTGATCATGTGCATTTTAAGAGCCTGTTGTGTTCAACTTTTCCTCTTTTCTGCCCAAATCCTCACTCTCATGTAACAGTTAATCATCATTTTAATGTTTATAAAGGGTTTGTCTTTCTAGACATTTTGCACATTATTTTAGTGCTCCAAAGATAAAACCTAAATGCAACAAATAGGCAAACTCTGTAACTTTGCTTTCAAAAACAATCTGACTTAACAAACAATATGAATGCACAAATCTCCCTCCTCCCAAACGTTTATCTCAATCAGCTTTCTTAAAAATATAGGCATATCTTTATTTTCATTTGAAATATAGTTAGGCATTATCTGATATGATTCTGCAATCTCCTTAACAAGAAGAAAATTAACAAGGTTCAACTATTGAATATTTGTGAGAGAAAAATTAATTTAGTTTTACTGCTTTTTGTCATAGTGGCTAAAGAAAAATGTGAGAAAATAACTATATTCACTTTTCTCCCTCTCCTCTCACACTGTCTTTTCAGGCACTTCCCCAATTTACAGAATCTTAGTTTGGCTTACTGCAGAAAGTTCACAGACAAAGGGTTACGGTACCTGAATTTAGGGAATGGATGCCACAAGCTCATCTATTTGGACCTTTCTGGCTGCACTCAGGTTTGTCTTTTCAGTCTTCTCTTTCCTGCAGCAGGCGAGGAAGTCCTCCGGAGATACTAACACTGTGCACAGACTGCAGCACACTTTTCAGAGGTTTTAAATTACATAACCACAGCTGCTTAAATTTCCCCCAGGATTGCTACTATAGGCTCTTGGCTTCCTTCCACTGCAGCGTCACACCCACATAAAGGCAGAGCTGATTGGATGATGAGACGGACCACTTCTGTGTAGATACTCTGAACAGTTATAATACCAACCTCCAAATCTTGAAACTTTAGAATTGCTACCAAGACACACACACACAAAAGAGAAACCTTTTTGAGGGAGAATTTTGCATGAATTTTCTGAAAAGTCAATTAGCTCCCACAGGGTCTCTCAAAGAATAAATAGTTGTAGGTAAAAGACCTCAAAAGTAAAAAAAGGTACAACAAATACTGCAATTTAAAAAATTGCACTATATCCTTAGGCTAAATAACCTGCAGATTTGAGACCTATATGGAGAAGTATTTAAGTTTGAAAAAACCAGATTAAAGCAATTGGGCAGGAAATAGGATGGAGTAGTGGAGGGTAGGACATGGAACTTTGGAAATAAGTGCTGCCTCATTGATAGTTTCTTCTGCTCCATTTTGGTAGATATGAGTCATAATTCTTTTAACTTCTCTTCTTCCACCTCTCTGTGTATTTTTATTCATATTAGCAGCATAGTATGTCCATCATTCTCTGAGAACATATAATAGCAGAGATGAAACTGGCTGGATTATTGATAATTACCATTGATTGAGCTGTTACTGTTACCAAACAGGAGCCTGTCTCTAAGTGGGTCTGCTTAGGGCTGGCTGTAGTGTGTGGGTCTTTGACTTTGTGTAGGAAAGATTTCACAACACAAATCCAGGTGACTATGAGGATACATTTATTAAAGTTTGGGACAGTGAAACAAGGAAAGGCTTGGCATAGAAGGATCAACAGGAGAGCCTCGGCTGGGCTGCCTTAGCTCACTGGGCAGTCAGAGAAAGGGGGCTTCTAGGGCCATGGTCTCCACTGACGGATCAGTGGCAGCACAAGGTGTCTTCAGTCATTTCAGGTGGTTCTGGCATCCTCCACCTGGTTTTGCTGCTTTTTGGGGTCTGGAGCTATAGGCCTAGATGTTATCTCCAGGGAGGAAAGGGCAGGGGAGGAAAGGTTACCCTGGGGGCAAGGTCCTTGTTTTCCCAGTTTTGTCTTCTGCCTCCTTGACCATCTGTACCTGGCCTTAAATATCTGGGCCAGTTTGTTCAGCTATCTGTCTCTGTTTTTCTATTCTACTTGCCAAGGGATTTCCCTAGCTTTTTATTATCCTGTCTCATTACTATATGCCAAGCACCATGCTGAGTGTTTTATACAGATCAGATTTATTCCTCATACAAAAGCTGTGTAGTATGTATTTATGGTTCCCATTTAAATGTGAACTGACCAACACTCCCAAGGTTGTACAGCTGATAAAAGCACAAGGGGCTTATTCAGTTATATGCACCTATTTGCAGATGCCTTGTTTTATGTTTACTAGGCAGTGTGGGGAATGCAAGGGAAAGGAGGGAAGGAATCTAAACTAGGTCTGAAACCGCTAGAGTTTACACATTTTTAATGATCTAATGATGTGTAAACTTGCTGAACAATACCTACAATCTTATGACCCAGATTGTCTTATCATTTGTTCCTGCTTGAGTAAACTTTTAGACAGGCTTCTTTCTGAGTCTTGGCCCTTACTCTATTTTAAAATAGATTTTTTTAAAAAAATCATCACCTGAGGATATGTTTATTGATTTTAGAGAGAAAGGGATGGAGAGAAAAACAATTAATTTGCTGCCTCCCATATGCCCTTCGACCAGGGATTGAACTCACAGCCCAAACATGTGCCCTGACCAGGGGTTGAACTCATAACCTTTTGGTATACAGGACAGTGCTCCAACCAGCTGAGCCACCTGGCCAGGGCTTAACCTCCTTTTTCTTAGAGCATCTGCTTACTTTATAAAACTTGCAGTTGCACATTCTTTCTGTTCCTTTGAGATGTTAACCTCTTAAAAAGCTTTTTGCCAGTTTTACAACCCAGGACAGTCTTTCCCAAGTTCCTGGGAGCCATACTTTGAAATGTAGTCATCAAGGGAGATAACACTATTGTCTCTCAGTGTCTGTGGGAAGATAGAAGTCTAACTTTGGTGTGGGTATGGATTAGCAAACACAGATGGCCTAATCATGGAGAAAATATTTGTAAAGTCAGGCATAACTCTATATGCTTGACATATCTCATTGATCACTCTCCTTCCTAAATATTCATCCTCTGATACTTTCCACGAGCTCTCCCTATGCTTAAAAACACTCCCCATAAACATGACTTACTTTGTTGTTCTGATTTCATGAGGTAATTACTACAGTAACAACAAACAAATACACACAGACATGTATAAGGACCAACATTCTTCGGTTTAGAAAAGCTGATGTTCTACCTAGCAATGCTATTATTTAGAATCAAAGGACAGATAAAGAACTTTCCAGGCCAAAAAAAGCTAAAGGAGTTCATCAATACCAAACCAGTTTTACAAGAAATGTGAAGGGTCCTCTTTAAGAAAAAGAAGAAATAGACTTCCAGCCAAGATGGAGGTGTAGGTAGATACACTTTGCCTCCTCACACAACCAAAAGAAGCACAACAAATTTAAAAACAAAAATTACCAGAACTGCCAGAAAATCAAACTATATGGAAGTCCAACAACCAAGGAGTTAAAGAGGAAACATTCATCCAGACCGATAGGAGGGATGGAGAGGATGCATGGCAAGGTGGTGGCTGGAGGACAGGGTGGACCAGGTGGCAGCTGGTGGACTGCGTGGTCCCACATCTGTGTGCAGATAAACCAGGAAGAACAGCTGGGGAGTGAAACAGACCATGCAACCCAGGGTTCCAGTGTGGGAAAAGAAAGGCTCAAAACCTCTAGCTGTAAAAATCTGTGGGGGTTGCAGCAGCAGAAGAAACTCCCAGCCACAAAGGAGAGTTTGTTGGAGAGACCCACAGGGTCCTAGAACATACACAAACCCACCCACCCATGGATCAGCACCAGAACGCCCCAGTTTGCTTGTGCGTAGCAGGGGAAGTTATGGAAAGCTGGCAGAGAACTGAGCAAGCTACAATGTTCCTTCCTGGACCCCTCCCCCACACACAGCATCACAACTCAGTGACTTGGTTTGCCCCGCCCTGGTGAATACCTAAGGTTCTGTCCCTTCCACCTTAACATACATGCTGAGACAAAAAAATATGGCCCAAATGAAAGGACAGATCAAAGCTCCAGAAATAGAACTAAGCAATGCACAGATAGCCAACCTATCAGATGCACAGTTCAAAACACTGGTAATCAACATGCTCACTGAATTGGCTGAGTATGGTCGCAAAATGCAGGAAAAAGTGAATGCTGTGCAAAGTGAAATAAGGAAAAATCTACAGGGAACCAAGAGTAAGGGGAAGTAAACCTGGACTCAAATCAACGATTTGGAGCAGAAGGAAGAGACAAACATTCAACCAGAACATAATGAAGAAACAGGAATTCAAAAACATGAGGAGAGGCTTAGGAACCTCTGGGACAACTTTAAATGTTCCAACATCTGAATCTAGGGGTGCCAGAAGGAGACGAGGAAGAGCAAGAAATTGAAAACTTCTTTGAAAAATAATGAAGGAGAGCTTCCCCCATCTGGAGAGGGAATTGGACTTCCAGGAGATCCAGGAAACTCAGAGAGTCTCAAAGAAGTTGGGCCCAAGGAAGCACACACCAAGGCACATCATAATTACATTACCCAAGATGAAAGATAAGGAGAGAATCTTAAAAGCAGAAAGAGAAAAGGAGATAGTTACCTACAAAAGAGTTCCCATAAGACTATCAGCTGATTTCTCACAAGAAACCTTGCAGGCAAGAAGGGGCTGGCAAAAACTTTTCAAAGTCATGAAAGGCAAGGACCTATACTGAAGATTACTTCAATCCAGCAAAGCTATCATTTAGAATGGAAGGGCAGGTAAAGTACTTCCCAGATAAGGTAAAATTAAAGGAGCTCATCATCACTAAGCCCTTATTATATGAAATGTTAAAGGAACTTATCTAAAAGAAGATCAAAAACCATGAACAGTAAAACAGTGGGGAGGGGGAATAATGGAGGAAAAGGTACAGGGAATAAGCAGCATAAATAGTAGGCACAAAAGAGTCAGGGGGAGGTTAAGAATAGTATAGGAAATGGAGAAGCCAAAGAACTTATATGTACAACCCATGGACATAGACTAAGAAGGGTGGGGGGATGGTGAGGGGAGGAACAGTACAGGATGGAGGGGAATAAAGGGGAGAAAAATATGGGACAACTGTAATAGCATAATCAATAAAATATATATTAAAAAAACAAAATGAAATAAGCAGAACAGAAAAAATCCAAATAAATAGAATAAATTATCTCCATAATCATATATACTGGTATATAATGTAATTATACACATATTACTGCACAAGCAAATTTGAAGTGTCCTGAAATTTTAGTGTTCATATGTAAGAAACTTTATAGAGGTATCCCCAAATTTAACATTTTAAAATTTTACATGATAATACTGATAATAAAGAATTAAGCTGAAAAAAGCTTTTCTATACTATAAATTTAAAAGTTTAGATTAATCTTTCTAGGGGGAAGACAATTATCTTTTTATTTCATTATAGGAAATATTATAGAATATCAAATTTTTATATAAAGAAGCCGTCAAATGGTGTGTAGCTAAAAATCTAGGTAAAAATATTACAAAGATGTGTTAATAAGTTAATTAATAAATGATAATATGATTTTATTAAAAAGTTAAATTGAGCCCTGGCTGGTGTGTCTCAGTGAATTGAGTGCTGGCCTGTGAACCAAAGGGTCTCCAGTTTGATTCCCAGTCTAGGGCACGTGCCTGGGTTGCAGGCCAGGTCCCCAGTAGAGGGTGCATGAGAAGCAACCACACATTGATGTT